CTTTTATTCGTTATTGTCGACCAAAGTTTTCGAACGACCAAGGGGGTAGGTACATTTTTTAGGTTGAATTTCCAGAAGTGTTCGTTTGTAGTATTTGCATCGTAAACTTGGTTGATGTTGCGTGTCGCGTATGCCGCATTACTCATATTTTATAATTACTCGAATTTTAACGTATCCATGATAACAAAAAAGATTCAAATGCAATGAAAACATTACGCTTATCAATAAACCAATGACTTTTTAAAAAAATAATAATTTCATGTTTTGAAAATAATATTAAATTGAAAAAAAATTCTTAGCTAAACAAAAATAATTTTACTTGTACTGGTACTGCAGAACGGCAATTTCATAGGTAAAGAGCTATTATATTTAAAAATGTGTGAAACTAGTAGAATGACATGAAGTGGATTTGACATTTTTGGAAGTTTTTTTTTAAGGATAAGGGTGACAAACGAGCACACAGTCCACCTGATGGTAAGTGGTTGCTGCGGCCCATAGACATCTACATCTATCCTCTATTAACAAATCAAAATGCAGATGCGTTGTCACCCGTGAGGACTAAGATGGAATGCCTCATTTCCAGTAAAAAGGGCCTCCGGCCACCTGCACTCACCAAGCGAAACACAGAGGTAAACCTCTACTTCACGCTGGTTTTCTGTGAGGTCGTGGTACCACCCCGGTTCGAGCCGGCCCATCCGTGCGACAGCAAAAGCTGCCGCGTAGCTCTACCACTGTTACCATATCTTCCTGAAGTTTTGTAAACAATGACTGATCAAGAGGACAGGCGTGCTATATCTGTGGTTTCGCTGCTCTAAGCTATATTGTCGTCGGAATTTCTTGTGAGCTTAGTAATCCTCACTGATATTTTGAGAATCACATGCCCTTTATCTCGATCCTTACATGCCATTGAATTTGATGTACTTTCCGCAACTCAGCTTGTCGATATGACCGCAACCAACGTGCAAAGACAACGTGAAACTGGCACGGACACATTTAAAAAAACTTTTTAATAAAGCTGAGATCCTTGATAACGAAATTGGAACAGTACGTACATAAACCAGCCGTCAAACAAATAGATCAAACACCCAGACTCAGTTTATTCTAGAATATTACCGTCTCTTACTGTATATTCCATTTCTTGATTATTTATTAAATTAAATGTCCTTCAGGTTTCTCAGAGCTCAGCTGCAAAGAATATGAAAGCTGCAAAAGTTGCTATCCCATAACTAATGATGAAGATATAAAGGATATTTTGCAGGATGCTGAAGTATATAAAGAGGATCTACTTTGTTTTTTAGCTGTGAAGGGCGTGTTACAAAGGCAACAAATGTGAGAAAATATCCTTAAAACACCAGCAGATGTCTATAACAGAGCAACGGCTCTGCCAAATATAAGAACTTTGTGACAATTATCGTGCACGTTTCATATGACAACCAGCACTGCCGAGCAATTTTTCTACTTTAGGGCGCGTTCCGACTACAAGCACCCGCGTCTAACTCGCTTTGAAATTTGTTGCATATAATTTGAGTCTTATGACAAATCAATAAATCTGAAATTGCATTTATCGACGTTCAACCGCACACGCCTCGCCCACGCCACGTGCCCGCCACGCGCCCGCCTCGTTCCCGCTCCGCGCTGATCCCGCGCTCACCCCGCACACGCGCTTTTTATACAATTTCAGATTTATTTATTTGTCATAAGACTCAAATTATATGCAACAAATTTCAAAGCGAGTTAGACACGGGTGCTGACGCGCGTGGCGTGCGCGTAGCAGGTGCGTGTCGTGGGAACGCGCCCTTACGCCGGTTGTGGATATATCTTCGCAACGTTATTAGAGAAGATTGTCTAAATGGACTGGGCTTAATGCATATTCATAAAGAAATAGTATAAGGAGATTGCTTCGAAGTTGAACGCTGAAGAAGTACTTGATATCTTCAGCAGAAAACATAAAAGAAAGCTATATCTAATAAACATGTAATTTCTCGATATTTAATCTTTATTACAAGTATTTTTAATAATTATTTTTGTACTTTATGGACATAAAACAGCATACTACAACACTATGATGTACAATTGACCCAAGGGCCATTTGCCCCTCCCAGAAATAAATCCTCGATCCGCCCTTGAAGGTAGACTAAAATACAATTTCAGCTAAACACGGGAAAATCAATTGTAATGGCGCTGTTATTAGCGTCATCTCATCATAATCATCAACATTACATCTCATCTCAATTCAATTACCGAACATAGTAGTATTAGTGCTTCTGAAAACGTTCTCTTCATTGCTATTCTTGTGGTACAGCTTTTGCTGGTAGAGCGTCGCTTTAAAATATGATGAACACAATATGCTTTTAGTCGGTGTGAATCCGACATAGACCCTTACTCCCGCGAGACGGGTGTGCATAGGCATTGCCCATGTAAAAAATAAAAGAATCGTGCCTTGAGGTTTTTTTTAATAGGATAAGGGTGACAAACCAGCACACAGTCCACCTGATGGTAAGTGGTTGCTGTGGCCCATAGACATCTACATCTATCTTCGATTACGTATTAAAATGCAGATGCGTTGTCACCCGCGAGGACTAAGATGGAATGCCTCGTTTCCAGTAAAAAGGGTCTCCGGTTCTCTACACTCACCATACGAAACACAACAGCGTTAAGCTGCTATTATATTATATATATTACGATGGTATTCTGTCAGAGCGTGGTCCTTCCCCGGTCGAGCCGACCCATTCGTGCTACAACCATAATATAGCTGCAGCATGGCTCTACCACGTTAAAGGTATACCCTTTGGGAGTACTTTGGGGTAGCGGGAGTGGACTAATGATGCGATAATATAATAGTAGTCTAAAGTAATTATTTTTTCTTTATAGATTTAGATCATAATCATGGTAATCAGCCTCGGATTTATTATTAACATATTTATATCACTATATCTATAGCACCTCAATAATTCAACAAAAGATTAGGAGCACTACAACAAATGTGAACAATGTAGTGTGATGTAGTGCAAAAACAATGTAGTGTGGCCCACACGGCATAATGTTATATATTAATGCTAATTGACAGATCAACACGTCCTCTTCTCATTAAAACCTTTTGCTACATTACAGCAGGATATCGCTTAAATATTCATATATAAGACTTTATTTGTTTTTATTTTTGCGTACTGCTTTAAAATAGTAACTATGATTTATCAACAATACCTTTATTTTGTTCTTTTCAATCTTTCTTCGACGAACAAAATAGATTGGAAGTTATATCTCTTCCGCATCCATTGATCTTGTTGAAGGAAACAAACTGCGTCTGTGTACTATATCTGGCGACCTTCGGCTATCAGAGAAAATCTTGGAAACGTAGTTATAGAATCTCCGTAAGGAACGGCTTTAAAATTGTATGTACCTATAATATAAATAATACGTAGAGAAGAATAGAACTTTTTATGCCAGTTGATGTGTCAATTTGAATTCAATTTAACTGCGTGGTTAACGCAGAGGGCAGCAGCGTCTTTTTAATAACAACTATTTAAAAAAACTACCAAGCCTAGCAAATATGACAAATATCTTCCCTGTAAGGCAATCTTTGGGGTGGTCTTTATTCAGTAGTAAACGTTTGACAGGCTTTTAACGAAGTAAAAACTAAGATCACGTCTCATCACAAGCCGCTCAGGAAAACGCCTATTCTTTGTCTTGTCTAAACAAAACTTGTGTAAACTAAGTAGTATACTCAATATGAAATTTAAACTGAACACTCAGCTGCTATAACTTAACCGTAGTAGCACAAACGAGTCATTCTCATACATATTAGCCCATAAATAATCCACTGCTAGGCACGAGCCTCTACCATAGGCTTTGTCAAAATCAGCACATGCAAGTGGATATTTTACGTTAATTGCGATTTAAATAAACCAAAAGGCTGCTCCAGCGTGAAGTACCGCTGCACCCTTGCTAGAACACCTAGTTTCCTTGCGGCTACTTTAGCTCTGAACTCAATGAACCGCCCATAGTTGAGGTTCGGAGAAATAAAGGCGGTGAGTGTGCTCCCAAAGATACATTCCGGAAAGTAGCTGTAGCTACAACAACTATTAGAGTAAGCCGCTCAGCCTGGCTCCCTTTAGCGGTAAGGAGACATGTTTGTTATTTGGAGGCGTTGCATCTCACAAGATTATTATTGCGCCATTCAGAGACTGCCTGCAGTGAGAGATTTGCACGCTCATTCATTCATTAGCTTCACTTTCGAACTGGATTTGATCCTGACTGGCTTGAGCATTGGGCCGGTACTGAATTATATATAAATATATCGGAATATATGCAAACAAAATTTTTTACTAAAATAAAAAGTTATCATTGCGAAACATTAATCGATTACTTGTTTTAAATCTAATCGCAGACGATTAGATTTTTGATAAAATATCGATCGCGATAGATACTTTATGCATTGCGTCAGTTAATGAGTTTCTAAATAGCAAACTATGTTACGAGTATGTAATATTTAAGAGCTGAGGTAACTCAAATACTTATTATACGTGGTAGAGCCATGCTGCAGCTATATTAATTGTATAGATGTAGCACGAATGGGTCGGCTCGACCGGGTAAGGTCCACGCTCTCACAGAATACCAGCGTAAAATAGCAGCTTAATGCTGTTGTGTTTCGTATGGTGAGTATAAAGAAAACAGACCCTTTTTACTGGAAAAAGGCAGCGGATAGATGTAGATGTCTGTGAGCCACAGCAACCACTTACCATCAGGTGAACTGTGTAGCCGCTTGTCACCCTTATCCTATAAAAAAAACTGAACGTTAACAGTACTCTAGCAACCCGAATTGAATTTCCGCTAACTTCACTGTAATGTTTTACTCAATTTTACATCTAATTTACCGGGCGTTTAGAGGTAAATAAAATATATATATCAAAAGTCTGACTTGCTCCGAAAAGAAAACAAAAATGTGGCCTTTATTTATTTATTTGCAGTATGAATTTAATTTTAAGACTATCATGTATATTTTAGAGAAAATTTCTCTTTGACACACTCCCTCGAGGTTCGAAGAAATAGCACTGGTGGTACATGCTTCCTAACGCTCCCGTGAAACGAGGTTCATAGTTATATATCACATATTTATTCTCTTCTCTCGCGCTTGCAAAACTGTGAAGATTTTTTCTGCATTCTTTGACAAAGAAATCCATGAAATAACGATTTGCTTTAATTGCATTCATCGAGTGCGGGTAATTTTTTGACAGCTTCCACTCGAATGAACTCTTTTCTGGGTGAAATTGAACTCCATAGAATGGATACCTGTAATGGAGAACATATGCATATATATATATACTAGCTGACCCGGCGAACTTCGTACCCCCTAACAGTAGATTCTTTCATTTTTTTTAACTCTTATTCGGCCATTCGGTACACCGGGTCAGCTAGTAAGATAAAAAAAGAAAAAAGAAGGTTGATAAGTCAACAATTAAATTAATTATGTCAAAAAATAAAAATTATAATTGTTTTTTTTTTTGACATCAAAGTTATATTTGTTTTGCAAAAGACAGCCGTACCCCGTAGAGATTTTGTTTAAGAAATACTCGTAAACATATTAACTTTGGTATCGCAATATATTTATTAAAATGTAATGTATGTACATAAAAACATCAAACACAACACAACAACAAACAACCTTTGATAAGAATAAAGATGTTCATACTTTAAACACTAGGAACAAACATAAGCTTGTAATACCAGTTACTAGACTCCACAGAATTAGTGATTAATTTATGGGGCAATACAAAATACGCTTTTACAACAAAATCTCAGAAAATTCTTCAAGTCTTTCAAGTTTACGGTCCACACCTTGTCATTAGGCTACTGTCGCTTGAACGTATCTCTTTTTATTTATTTTTCTTTTTATTTTGAAATCATTTATTTTGACCTATCTCATTTTATCTGTGAAGTAGCAAGGTGAGGCCGAGGATGCCATGGGCCCGTGCTGCAGATTTTAAGGGGCGGCATTTTGTTTTGCCAACATCTGCTCACACGCACTTGCCAAGTACAGGGATAAGCATAAAAAATATGCTAATACTATAGAAGATACTGTTGCTATATTGTAGTTGCAGCACGAATGGGTCCACGCTCTTAGAGAATACCAGCGTAAGTGTGGGTGAGTTTAGAGATCCGGAGTCCTTTCTTACTGGAAACGAGGCATTCTGTCTCAGTCCTCAGGGGGACAACGCATCTGCATTTTGATTCTTAATTGAGGATAAATGTAGATATGTATGGACCACAGCATCCATTTACCATCAGGTTGACTGTGTGCTCGTTTGTCGCCGTTATTCTATAAAAAAACAGATATACTTTTTTAGGACACCTACTTCGAAAAGGGGGGCGGGAGTTTAAGATGATATCATCCCGTGCTACGTCACTGTAGACTAGTGCAATAATAATGTAAATTCATTATACTCCATAAACTACAGGGCATTGAACTAGAACTCTAAGGATAGAGCTTGAGTTTTCATTTGAACATTGTAGTTAGATATTTGATCTGAGGGTTAGATCCTTTCAACGCTGTCGGGTGCAAACGCTTCAGTGCTTTGTTGATATTAACGTAATTTCCTTTATACACCGCAAATATCATTGTACTGTTATGATTTGAAATATAAACACTCTGTAATACCAAACCAGAACAATAGTGATTTAAAGAAATTTCATTTCCTTACATTCGTAGCCATAGTAAAAACTTATGGCCTTTAACAAATTGCGTTAATCTTTAAAATTCATGTGTATTAAATAGGCGAATTAATTTTGAATAAGGTGATGTTCTCACCTGTTATGTTCAATACTTGCAATAAACTGTACTCCATAGTCGTCATCACTGTGAGACGTTACGCGCCAATCCTTGTCGAGGTTATGCGATTGCAGATTCTAAAAAATATAAATCATTTTACATATTTTGTAAAATTGACATATGTAAAATAAACCTCAAATGAAGACGATAGTATCGTGACAAGTTACACAAAAAGGCTAAACTGGATCCTAACAATGCCATATTACAACTAACCTACTCTAGGTACCGTAATTTTTGCAATAATCTTTTAAAAAAACTAAAAACCGAATTTAAACAAACCGAGTTCAAAAAGAATAAAGATAATCCCAAAGAAATGTGGAATACTATTAATAAAGTCGCTAGTCTAAAAAAAGCTTCTCCGTCCCCCACTGAATTGTTAAACCTCGCCAAAGACCCCCATGAATCAGTAAACCTAATAGATGAATTCTTTGCAAGTATAGGTAAGTCCCTTGCTAATGAAATACAAATTAGAAGAAGTACTTGTTTGACTAGTTCCGTAAACATCACTCATATTGAGCCACAGAGAGATTCGATGGCTTTACTTGATGTGGATTATAAGGAAGTTGAGAATACTATTATTAACCTTAAAAATAATTGCGCTACAGGTGTTGACAGCATTCCTACTCAAGTTTTTAAGAATGCAAGGACTAGCCTTATTCCACCTTTGACCCACATGATCAATCAATGTTTCGCTTCAGGAGTTTTTCCAAACATCCTCAAGAGAGCTCTTGTACATCCTATTTATAAAAACGGAAATAGAGTTATAATAGGGAACTACAGACCCATCTCGGTGCTGACAATAGTATCTCAAATTTTGGAAAAGCTTTTAAATTCCAGACTCATTAAATTTTTAGAAAATACAAATTCAATTGCACAAAATCAGTATGGATTTTTAAAAGGCAAATCTACTGATGATGCTACTTTGAATCTTACTGAGGCTATTGTTTCGCACCTTGATATGGGTCACAAAGTTGTTGGAGTTTTCCTCGATTTTTCGAAGGCATTCGACAATGTATCTATACCATTACTATTGAAAAAGCTGGAATTATTTGGTATACGCGGAGTCGTCTTGGATATCTTTTATGACTATCTTTCAAATCGTTCACAGTGAGTCTAATTAGGTAACTACCAAAGTTTGGATGACGATCTCTCTTATGGGGTACCACAGGGCAGTGTACTGGGTCCAACCCTCTTCCTAGTGTACATCAACAACTTGTGTAAACTTTCGTTACCGAACTGCAAAATTATCACTTATGCAGATGATACAGCGTTGATTGTGCATACTGAGGATTGGGCTCGGGCTCAACTATACACTGAAAACGCCCTCACTGAGGTAATGAGATGTTTGCATGACAATTTTCTTACGTTAAACTTAAAAAAGACCAAATACATAACATTCACCCCACGGTCCAATACTCAACCATCCATTGACTTTTGTATAAGGGCACACACTTGTAATAGATTAAATAGTTACTGTAGCTGTCCTCAGTTATCACCAACACATAGCTTAAAATATCTCGGTCTGATTCTAGATAATCATCTTAATTGGTCATTACATGTTAAACAATTAACAGCCCGAATTAGAAAATTAATTCCTATCTTTTACCTACTTAGAAAATATGCTGATTGCGATACGCTAATGTGTGCTTACTATGCGCTTGTCCAATCTTTGCTCAAATACTGCATTGTTTCATGGGGTGGAACTAGCATTAGTACACTGCTTCCCCTGGAACGTGCTCAGCGTGCAATCTTAAAAGTAATTTATAAAAGACCGCATAGGTATAGCACGTCACTACTCTACCGTGAATGTTCAGTTCTTACGGTAAGAAAACTCTTTATCTTCCACACTATACTTCGTAAGCATCTCGGACTGCCATACGTTCCAACTCAAAAACGCAATAAGAGCAAAGTTTGCACAACACCTCCACACAGAACCACTTTTGCTAAACGGCATTATTTTGTTATAAGTTCCCATCTCTATAACATCGCAAATAAAGCTTTAAATATTTACCCCTTAACCCTAAATCAATAGTGTAAATTTGCGACTCGGGATTGGTTACTGAATTTAGATTTCGACGAGATAGAAAATATTATTCGGATCAAAAACCTTAAATAAAACATCTTAACACAAACTCTCCCTCTCTCTATCTCTCTCTCTCTCTCTCTCTCACACACACACACACACACACACACACACACACACACACACACACACACACACACACACACACACACACCCCCACACACACACCCCCACACACACACACCCCCACACACACACACCCCCACACACACACACCCCCACACACACACTCCCCCACACACACACACCCCTACACACACACACCCCCACACACACACCCCCACACACACACACACACACACACACACACACACACACACACACACACACACACACACACACACACACACACACACACACACACACAAATTCCCAGAGTGGAAGGCGCAGGCAGCCGTGCCGACGTTAACCTCTCAATGTAATTGATGGTACTTTTTATTTAAATAGTGTAAGACACGATGTAAAATTTGTGGAGTAAATAAACAAAATATATTATTATTATTATAGGGTATTTGTATAGTTTTCTCATCTGGCTGGGCTATATAAATATATAATTGAAAATGAAAATGATAAACTTACATAAATATCAATAACATAAATACATAAAAATTACATAAATATAAAAAACCCAACCAGATGGAAGCCTTCGGCAGGGGAGACCAAACGGCCGAGGGTTAGGGGGAAAGGGAAAGAAACCGGCGGACGATGCGGGCGGTATCGAGGAGCACCGCCTTCTGCATTTGAGCTTGGAGCGATCCGTGACGGAGTCCCAGTCGCTTCAGATGACCCGAGAGACTGACTGGGATTAACACGTTCGCAGAAACGACCACAGGAATAATTTCGGCCGGCAGACCACCCCAAATGTCGATCACCTCGTGAGCCAGGTCCAGATATTTTGTTAACGTATCTGTTTCGGCTTTCACGAGGTCTCGTCATAAGGAATGGTAATGTCGACCAAAAATATCCTTGACTGTGCCCGGTCCATCAGCACAATATCAGGCTTATTCGCAAGAATAGTCCTGTCTGTGATGATGGCCCGATCCTAGTAGAGCCTGGCGCGGTCATTTTCGAGCACGGCTTCCGGCAAGTAATTATAATATGGCAGTTTCCGTTCCACGAGACCGTAGTTCAGAGCGAGCTCATGTTATTTCGAGCGAGCTCCTATATTATTATAGTATACAACCAGTGCGTGTTGCCAGTGATGACTTATGGATCTGAGACGTGGTCGTTCCTTCACTGCTGGCCGTATGAGGAAGCTCAAGATCGTTCAGCGAGCTATGGTGAGGGCTAAACTCGGGGTTTCCCTGCGTGATAAACTTAGGAATGAGGATATCGCCAGTAGAACTTGAGTAACTGACATAGCCCAACGAATGAGTAAGCTGAAGTGACAATGGACCGGCCGTATAGCTCGAAGAACCGACAACCGATGGGGAAAGCCTCGTATCTGTAGGCGAAGTGTAGGGCTTCCCCCAACTAGATGGAATGACGGCCTAGTAAGACATGTCTGGTAAGGAAGTCGATGGATGCAGGTTGCTCAGGACCGTGGTTTGTGGCATTCCTTGGGGGATGCTTATATTCAGCAGTGGACTAGTATTGATGATGATGATGATGACGATGATGATGAAAACAAACCAAACGTAAACTAATTAATGAATTATCTCCAGTATTGTAGAGGCGTTTTGAATATGCATATTTTTTAAATATTTGGGTAAATGTAAAATATTGCAGTTTTATATCAAAAAACTCAAACACCTTTTTTATAAGAATAATATACCTCTTTAATTAATCGAAGTATTTACCCTCACTATCTATACATTTCTGCAATCTCGTGGGAAGATCATTTATGCCTTTTCTATTAAGGCATTTTATACCTCCTGAAAACCAAACTTTTTCAATTGTTCAAATTGCAGAAAAAGATCTGGTGACACGGTGGATGACGTATGGTTTCCAACTGCTTGTAATGTTAACACGGTTTGTCAATTATTGTGAGGTTTTAAGCCGCGTCTCCACCAAAGTTTTGTTGCCAACACAACAGTTGGTAACAAAACTTGTTTCCATTTTGGGCGGCAACATCAAAGGAATACGCTTGTTGCCAACATTTGTTCCCTCGGTGGAGACGCTTGTTGGAAACAGTTGTAAACAGTTGGAAAAATAACTGTTGTCAACATTTTTGGTGGATACGTGGCTTTACGTTATCATGGAGCAATAACAACGAAGTTCGATTGACGACTTTACAACAACGCTACAATTATGTCCCAAATTCCTTCATTTACCTACATTTTACTATTCTGTACAAAGGCAAAGGCTTCTGTAAAAAGGCAATCTCCAATGCGTGCTCCTCTTTGCACATCACTAATTCATGAAACACCCATTTCTTGTTTTTTTTTTTCAATTTGATACAAATGAGTTCTTGTTATAGGTAAACGAACGTCAAACCATAACGCTCATTCTTTGGTTGTTTGATAAGGTTCGGCTTCCACCAATACTTTAAATTCATCGTTATTATTTACCTTAGTGCCTTTTTCCTCCTCGTGGTTTATTTTAATAGTAGTTGCTACTACAAAAGCAATTAAACCAAACACGCACGAGTTAGTTAGTCACATTCTCTCTAAATACAGCACATTTAATTCAAAAAGTCATGAAACTTTTAAATTAACGTTGTTTTGGGAAAAAATTTAACCACGAATCTTGGACCATACAGGTTTAATTTTCATTTAAAGTGGCCACTCAATTAAAACGGCAACTTCATGCTTTAACCACTATTATTTATAGGCCATACATACAAATTATTTCGTTATCATTTTAAAAAAAAACACTCGTCCAAGATTTCGAGCAGTTCACTTTGATAAGCTTTGTCATAGCATAAGACGCGTTAAGAGTTCGAAACCTCTAAAAGGTGATTTGAGATATTTATTCAAAACATTTAGAAAATTCCCTCCTTTATGTCATGGCATTGTAAGAGATCACGGGAAATGTCAAAATAAAATTAGCATGACAATAAAATTATGACAATTTATGCCCAAGTAAAGAAAGATTCACCTATATTTAACCCATTTACACTGTCCCGTGCATTACATATAATTCATTACTATTGTCTTACTATTGTGTCTGAAAATCTGACAGTCAGAGTGTTGACCTTGGATATTAAACAGTCTATCGTTATGGCATAACAAAAATTATAATCAATAAAGAATTTATAACCACACTTACTTTGTCGACGATGCAAAAATGGTGAGCATTGACTGTGACATCTTCATTTGCAAGTATTTGAATAATGTCTTCAGGTGCTTCTGCGAACATCTTACTGGTGCGAAAATCTAAAAATGTAAACAACACTATTAGTTAAGTGTAAATCGTATTAAATACAAATTAATAGAGTCAACGACTCCGTAGCGCAATGACTAAACTGTGTTTATATGACTTTCAAATAATTTTTCGGATCTACGTGTTGCTCCTTATGTATGTAACCTTCCCCTTCTTGCCGTGTGGTTGCCATTTATTGCTATTGCCATTAAATCTTGTTTACACTAGCCACATTAATTTTACAGTACGCGAGTAACCTGCAGAGAAAAAAATGTGAGGAAACCTGTCCGAGAAATAAGAAAAAATATATTTCTAAGACATGTGAAGTTCACCAACATGCATTAGGGCGACGCGATGAACATTTCCTTGCCTTAAAACCCTCTCAGATATAAGAGGAGGTCTGTGCCCAGCTGTGAGACGTATATAAGCTGTAACTTTTACTTTACGCTAGACGAAAAAGATTCAGTCGGGCGACGAAGAGCTGTGTCAAAGGTGTACAGCGATCGTCAATTTGCCTACCAAGCGTGATTATTAAGGCGATTCCTTCCTACAACTGGAGTGGCCCATGTTTAACAGTGGGCTTGTAAAGAATAAAGCAGTGAAGACACACCTTCATGACATAGCAATTATCTTACTGTCTCTTATAATAGTAGTTATAAACAATTTTATACAATACTATAACAATTGTATTTGTTTTTTTTTAATTAAAAACAGATATATTGCATTCTATCGGGAGCCACGAGGTCTTCTTAGGCTTTCTCATAATCGCCTCTTACGATAAGGGACGAAACAGGCTGATGGATTCCTTAACGCCGCCAACACACGGCTATTTCAGACAATAAATTTTTATCGAAGTAATGGTGATAAACAAGCACACAGTCCAAGTCCAAGTTTTGTACGTGGTAGAGCCATGCTGCAGCTATATTAGTAGTATAGTTGTAGCACAAATGGGTTGGCTCGACTGGGGAAGGACCACGCTCTCACATAATACCAGCGTAAGATTGCAGCGTAACGGTGCTGTGTTTCGTATGGTGAGTGTAGAGAACCGGAGACCCTTTTTACTGGAAACGAGGCATTTCATCTTAGTCCTCATGGGTGACGAAGCATCTGCATTTTGATTCTTTATTGAGGATATATGTAGATGTCTATGGGTAACAGCAACCACTTACCATCAGGTGGACTGTGTGCTCGTTTGTTACCCTATCCTATTAAAAAAATGCTGCATTCGGCAAGGGTGTTTGCAGATTAACTCTATTTTCAAAACTTCCAATACAGATAGTGTGTAAGAACTATCCCAACAAAGACATAAATGTGAAAAGGGGACAAAGATCGGTACAAAAAACGTTATGAACGGATGTCAGCTTCACCGCAGCAGTTGCTTAAATGGTAGGATCTACGGGAATGTACAACGTTCTTGGAACATTTATATTTTTGTTGGGATATTATTAGTTTTTGAAAAAGTTTTATTCTTTTACTAACATGACCCTCAAAGATTTTCTTGCATCTTAAGTTATAAACATTAGATGCCGACAAATCGACACATTTTCTACTACTATAATACTGTCCTGATGGCTAGCCTTCATTGAGACTGGCCGCCATAACCGAAATTCGGTTTTGAGGGCTTGATTAATCTGAAGTAACGAAACAGATAATTACCATCCTCAAAGTCCAATGGCGCATTGCTATATGAATAGCATGTGATTCTGTTTTCCTTGTCACCGCGTCCTGATGCTAAAATTATGAGCAGTTCAAATCCGAGACAGGTACCAAATAAAGGAAAGTAATCGCCAGCGTCATTGAGTTCCATAGCTATTTCATATATATGCTGACCAGCGTCTGCGTACCCATTGGACTGATTGAAGTACGTGGCACCACCAGGAAAAAAGACACTAAAGTAGAAGTAAAGAAAAACAAATTTATGTGGTCAGCGGTAAAACAAAACGTCGTGAAGAAACCTGCACGGCTAAAACATGAACAAGTGGTAAAATTAAAAAAATTGTACAAACGGCATCAATATAAATTATTAAGGATAGCTATAAATTATTAAAACTACTCGTCAGACCTTGATCAAATTTACTCGTATATGGGACCATATGAGAAGCACCAACTTTCAAATAAAAACAGAATCATCAAAATTAGTTTACCTAGAAAAAACTTCTGAGGTAATATACATAAAGAATACAGTTGAATTAAATATCTCCTGATTTTTGAAGTCTGTTAAAAAAAATAACTAAACTATTCACAGGAAGCTCGTTTTGAAATAGCAGCAAATCAAAAATATTTTTTATTTTGCCATGCCAATCGTTTAATGCGGTAAGCTAAGATAAAATTTCTCTGTGCAATTTGTGTAATCTCTAATATTTTCTAATTCATTATCTTATAATTTCAATTATTTTATTATGATGCAGTCAAAGACAATTATCAAAATAATGAACAAAGATCAGATGTTAACTTATATATCTTTTTAAATGCGTGTAAATAAAATTATCACCCTTATTTATCCCGTGGATGTCATCAGAGCCAACAATAAATTTACGTGGTAGAGCCAAGCTTAAAAGCTTAATGCTGCTGTGTTCCCTACGGTGAGTGTAGAGTACCGGAGACCCTTTTTACTGGATAGGAGGCATTCCATCTTAGTCCTCAGGGGTGGCAAAGCATTTGCAATTTGATTCTTAATCGAAGATAGATGTAGATTTCTATGGGCCACAGCATCCACTTAACATCAGGTGGGCTGTGCGCTCGCTTGTCACCCTTATTCTACAAAAAAAAAGGAAATTTGAACATTCCGTTAACGCCAAACGTAAAATACCCAGACCGAGACCTTTCCGATCGGCTCGATTCATTGGCACTGCGAAGAGATGTTGCATCCCTTTGCATTTTCTTTCGCATCTACCATGGGGAGTGCTCTGAGGAATTGTTCGGATTAATCCCAGCCGCCAAATTTCACGAACGCACATCGCGGCAGAACTCCCGATACCATCCACACCATCTGGATGATTGGCGGTCCACCACTGTGCGATTTAGAAGATGTTTTCTTCCTCGCACGACCTCCTTGTGGAATCGATTACCATCAGCGATTTTTCCGGACCGATACGACTTAGGGACCTTCAAGAAAAGAGCGTACTCCTTTTTAAAAGGCCGGCAACGCATCTGCGATTCCCCTGGTGTTGCAGTTGTTCATGGGCGGCGGTAGTCACTTACCATCAGGTGAGCCGCATGCTCGTTTGCCCCCTCTCCCATAAAAAAAAAACCGACAATAGTATCAGCGCCACAGATGGGAAACTTCTGATTGAAATCACCATAACGCTTTTAAAAAGAGTTTATGACAAATCTTCTCTACAATCTGGGTTTTTACGGGTCGATAGAGAATTTAAAAAAATATATTAACTTACCCATTCAGTTTACTCATAAGCTCCTTATAATAATTACGATCTTTTCCAATTCTGAAAAAGTTACTATCGTTAGTTTAGTTCTTAATATATTAAAATGACATTAACTATTATAACGTCTACTAACAGAATTGGAACAACTCGTGCACCTGCTGCCTCAATATCCTTGACGTAGGATGCCGCAATATAGCTTGTGTAATTCTCCTCAGGATATTTACCATGGAGATAAAACGATTGTTCTTGTGATAAAACACCAATGATGGGACGATCATTTGTCAACTTAGAGCTATGCCTCTGCACTAATACAGCACCATTACAATTTAAAATGAATAACATTGACGATATCAACACCAACATTAGCATAGATTTTAACGCTATAAACTCCAACAAATTTGGTATTACAAGCTTCATCTTGGCCAACTCCGTCGAACTTGAGAATACGCCGTTGTACCACCTACAATTTGATTTTATATATTATTGGCACAATTTATTAAGTACAATATCGATGATAATATATTATCTAACGATTGAACAACATTTTATCACATTTTTCCGATTAATTTAGTAAGTTTCTCAATAATAAGTATAGCATATGCGACAGACGGACTGCCAATGACATGGACGATTTACACTAAAAAAAAAAACAGAAATAAAGTCTTTAGTATTTACTCACCACAATATGAAAACATTTGCGCTGTCGTTTACAAAGCAAATTATGATATTTTGTACTATTTCAGTCTTATACCTCACGTACATCTGTGTATGTTCCCTACGCAGTCTATAAATATACTTCTCCCGTGATTTGACACGAGTTGCACACGAAATAAGATTAGATAGTTAAGTATACTTTGGAAGACATCGTTAGTCATTAAACATTATTACTCTTTGTTGCAATTAAATCTAACTAAAATACCCAAAGAATGTTATTTGTTAATTTTAATTATAAAAAATATAAAACCAATCAAAATTGAACAAGTCAAAAAATGTCTTATATAATAACACAAATAAATAGGTCGAGGAAAAAGTTTCTCGTATATTGTTTGTATAAAATTGTAGAAAAATCTCTTTGGTTGGACTGTTATTATCGGCTGGTTTTAATATCAATACATATAGGACATTAAGAAAAAGAAAAAGTAAAAAACACTTTCCCGCCATTTTTCAATTGCTTTTCTGTCCGAAAAAATTATTAAATCTAACGAAGAAATTCGATACATTCTGAAGTTTTATTACAAAAAAGAGAAAATTATGACTCAAGCCCACATCATTATAATAAAAAACTAGATACACAATCCCATGCAAAAGTTTTTTAAAAACTATCGCCAATTGTTGAAATAAATATACAGTAACGTAAATTCAACCTTAAGCGAATTGCCTATTGATTGAGTGGGCGCTCATTCGGTAAGGACATTTTTGTCTGTATCTAGTTTTTTTAGTGATCGCTGTTCAAGCCGCGAAATAAAAATGTGACGTTTATGGACCTAATGCAGTGTCAGTAACAGTAGCACAAAGTTAGTTCAAGCGTTTTCAGACCGGGAATTTTGATGTCAAAGATGCAGCTCGCTCTGGTCGCTCTCATACGGATAAAGTCGATGATATTTTTGAAAAAGTGGAGCAAGATCAGCATATTAGTAGTTACAACATAGTCGAGAAATTGAGGATTGACCACAATATAGTTTTGACCCATTTGAAAAAGTTTGGCTATACAAAAAATCTACATATTTGAGTACCACACGAGCTCACTGAAAGAAACCTAATGAATCGTGTACTGATTTGCGATTCTCTATTGAAACGTAATGAAACTGAATCATTTTTGAAAAGACTGATCACTGGTGATGAAAAGTGAATTGCCTACGACAAGATTGTGCGAAAAATATCATGATGAAATAGTAGTCAAGCTCCACAGACTGTAGTAAAACCCGGATTAACACACAATAAGCTGATGCTGTGTGTATGGTGGGATTGGAAGGGCATCGTTTATTATGAGCTTTTACCGCCGGGCAAAACCGTCGATTTGAACCTCTCCGGTCGTGTCGGTTTACCGTCCCATCGGACTATGAGAGCGAGGGAATAGAGAGTTCACCTTTGCTTGCGCATGCACTTGGGCACTACAATCCTGTCCTGCGCCGATGGCTAGTGAGGAGGCTTCTTCGGACAATTAAAATAAAAACTTGCTGTTGTGTTGAAATTATATATAATATCGATTCTACAATAAATAACTATAGAATTAACACTGACTCTAATAGCAGAAATTGTGGACACGTAATGCGCGTTCAAGATTCGGTAGCCAACTGAAGCGGTGAGGGGAGGCGTCTTAGGCTTGACCAGCTAGTCTCCGTTGAGGCTGGTCGCCGTGACCGAAATTCAGTCTGGAGGACATTATACGTGGTAGAGCCATGTTATCGTTGTAACACGAATGAGTCAACTCGACCGGGGAAGGCCCACGCTCTAACAGAATACCAGCGTAAAACAGCTTAATGATGTTGTTTTATGTTGTGAAATAACTAGGTGGTACTCTATCTTCGTCCTCAGGGGTGACAATGCATCTGCATTTTGATTTTAACTGAGTTCAGATATTGATGTATATGGGCCATAGCATTTACTTACCATCAAGTGGACTTTGCGCTCGTTTAGTATATCTCGCTCCTTATTCTATAAAAAAAATGTTGGTATGTTGGTAAATGTTTTATAAAAAGTGACAATTTGATTCAAAAACTATTGAATTAAAAAAATACTGGGTGGTAGAATAAGTTAAATATTTGATAGGTATCTAAAATAATATTTCTTTTATTACAGGAATCCGGTTCTCTACACTCACCGTACGAAGCACAGCAGCATTAAGCTGCTATTTTACGCTGGTATTCTGTGAGAGCGTGGTCTTTCCTCGGTCGAGCCGACCCATTCGTGCTACAACCATAATATAGCTGCAGCATGGCTCTACCACGTATATCCAAATACCATATACCACTAATAATGTGATAATTTTTTGATTTTAAATAAATATCTATTTTAGATAATATATAATTATTTAAAAACAAAAAAAATCATATTTGTCGGAGCGTCTATGAAAATCCCGGTTAGATTGAGGTGGCATTGAGGGTGTATCAAGAAACCCCCACTCGTTTGTGCAATATAAAGTTCACTGTATAGGCGCCGTGCGTCATAAATTTCGCTTAAGTCATTCTACGATTGTAGTCATTCTACTAGTGCTAAAATAGTCTCGTGGTTCTGATCGTTGTTGTAATTCTTCTAATGCAGGATATTAGGAGGATTGGTATTGCTGAGAAGCTGCCCTGTGTTACACTGAGATAAGTAGTGTTGCTGTTAGTTTGCATACTTTAGTGCTATCATGTAATTACGTACCTCACGTTACACTGGTGTGTGACCGTGGCGGGAACGTGTTACGGTGTGGTCGAAGTGGAATTTCACTATACTAAATGTATAGTGAAAACCGTTTATTTATTTATACTAAACGTATAGTGAAATTAATTTATATATTACATTTTTAAAATACCTGCTTCATTTAAAATAGGTGTTACATGGGACCGTTTTAGTATTGAGAAGCAGTATCGTGCACATGCATTTTGTATACGTTTAATTAGACGTTGTGACTTTTCCAAATTACAGGGTCCATACACTGTAATGCACTGGTTTGATTTTGAAAGAACGACATATTCACACAGTCTAATTCTTAAGTCCAACTGAATGTATTCGCGCATTCTGTATAACACCTTTAACTTATATAAGCAGTTGCGGACAAGCACGAGTACGTGTTTTTAAAACGCAGTCTGCCATCCATAACTAAACCGAGGTTACGAGCTTCACTTACACGCTCCAGAGGGACGATTCACGACATGATTTTAGGGTTTTCATTCTTTAAAAAATTGATTTCGTTTTTTGATCCTAAAAGCATATACTTAGTCTTTAGTGGGTTTAGAATAAAGGAATTTTTCGGAGACCATATTGCAATTCGATTCAGGTGCTTATTGACGTTACTAATTGTAGAATGAAATTCAAGCGATTTGCAGGAAAGATAAAACCTTTAGATCATCAGCCTATAGGTGGTATTTGCAAAACATGCATGCAATTAGTTATAGCAGCAATGTAAATTATTAATAACAACGGTCCTTAGATAGAGCCCTGTGGGACGCCTCTATTAAGTGATCGTTGTTCAGAAACAAGGGAAGACCCATTTGGTTGATTTAATATTACTTGTTGTGAACGGCCGCATAAGTAACTTTGAAACCATTTTATGGAAGATGTTACAAAACCATAAAACGATATCTTAGACAGCAGCAAATCTATGCTAATAGAAACAAACGCTCTTGAAAAATCAATTAGAGTAAGGATCGTACCTCTACCGGAGTCTTGAGATGTAAAAATATTGTCAACCACGTCAAAAAAGTAGTACACGTGAAACCTTGATGATTTGATTGTATAAAACTTTTCTAAAATTTTAGAAAGAAAGGGCAGTATACTTATTGGTCTTAAGTCTGTGAGATCTTTAGGATCATTGGTTTTAGGTAAAGGACGTAGGAGAGCTATTTTCCACGAAGAAGTAAAAGTAGATGTTTCAATTGATTTATTTATGATTGCTGTTATTACTTTTAACATAGCCGGAAGTGTTAAAATGATCATATCCTCACTCAACTGATCAATACCGTGAGCATTTGATTTTATTGATAACACACATTTTTCACGACAACAAAAAATGATTAAAACATAGTGATTAAAAACAATATTAAAATTATAATTAGAAACAGTATTAGTGACAAACCTTAGTGAAAGGTTTTACAACATGTTTACAACCCCTATTATTATAGTATAGAGCATCGTTTGTAATACATAGTTAAGACAATAACCAAATAGAGAAATTTGTAAGAAAACTATATTGTACAACACAAAACCGGCCAATCAGACCGCGGCACATTATAGAACAATCGGGCATTGTGTAACGTTAAGACCCGAAAATAATGAAAATAATTTTATGCTCTAAAATAATTGTAAACATAGTTCATATTTAATTAGATTAAGATTTATAGATTAAGGAAATAAAAGAATATTTCGCGTGGTGTACCTTATTTCCCACCTATAGTCATATTAAAGAATGGATGTATCTACCCAAATACTGTTAAAAGTAATATTTTCATTAATAACTTTTTAAACTATTAATATATTAAAAAATCTTTATAATGTTCTACTTTAATTATATGATATGATTAGCAGTGTCAAAAGCAACCGCCGGTACCGACATACTCCGCTAATCGTTGAGTCCGTATACTACAAGAGGCGTTGAGTCGAGGTCATTCGACTCGATGCCTCTTGTAGTATACGGAGAGATAGAGATAGAGGCGCGTTCGTGCTCTTGCGTGTCAATCGCGTGCGCGAGTGCTAACATAGCACTTCCCCAACCCTTTCGTGGCAAAAGGGATTGGCAGTGCCTCAGGTGTTACAGGCCAACCGCTATTCTCCTTTCCTCACCTCTCACGTCGTACGTCTCGTCGGCACGTTAGGTAGGATTAAGACAAGATACAGATTCAGATTAACTAACAGTTGTAGCATAACAGTTTGTAACTATCATGACGGATACATCGTACGGTTCGTACGGTTACAAACTAGGGGGTTACAAACTGGGGGGCTCCCTGTTCCCCTTAACAGGGTAGAGCCCCCCCAACCCCTCGCGTTAGGAAACCCCCGGATCATCCGGGCGTTTTGGATTGGCCATTGCTGGCAAAGGACCTATCGAACCCGAAGCGTTT